CATTTTTTTGTATGTACATCAATAATAAATTTTCCTAAACAGTGCTTACTTGTTTTTATATCTTAACACCAACAGCCATTTTACTGTCCTCTAGGGATGGGGCTCAAATGTATTTTTTATTACATTAAGATGTTGAATGTGCCATTCTTAAATTCTGTCCAAGCCTCAAGCCTTGGTAATAGTTAATATTTCATAACAGACTTTGGTGGAATTCAAAAGATCGAGCTTGGAAGAGAAAAAATGCAGCTGCCAGAGATTTTATGGAACATTTATACATAAAAAAACAGTTTTTTCCGACTATAGAGCGCACCTCACGATAAACCACACCCAGTATGTTTAAAAAAAAAAACTGGAAACAGACAGATATAAACTGCACTGGCTTATAAGCCGCTGATATCTATAGAGCTGTGCCCCACCAGGCCTGTAGGGGGAGCTCTACATACCCCCCCTTAGAATGGGAATGAAGAAGAATGCTAGCTCCCGTTAGCTTGCGTCTTGCAGCTTAGACACCTCATTGGTTCAACAGCAATAATGTGGCGAATAAATGTCAAAACATGTTAATGAAAAAAAAAATTTGAGTGCTTTTGTATTCCTTGAGTTACTCTCTGTTGCCCCCTTGTGTTTGTTTCCTTTCCTCTTGGCTTCCTTCTAGATCAGGCATCCCCAAAGTTGGTCCTTGAGGGCCACTGTCCTGCAGATTTTTAGAGGTTTGTCTGCTTTAGCACAGCTGATTCTGATGATTGCAGTTCAGCAAAAGACTGTTAATCAGCTTTCAATGTAAATCACCTGTGCTGGAGCAGAGACACCTCTTAAACCTGCAGGACAGCGGCCCTCAAGGACTGACCTTGGGGATGCCTGATCTAGACGCTTCCATCCACACCTGTTCCCTGTCAGCTCATTAGTCCAGTCTTTGTTCTGTCTGCTTTATATAATCTTCCTGTGTAGTTTCTCAGTGCTTGGAAAAAAGTAGTAGCTTATAGTCCGGAAAGTACTGTAACATCACTAGAAACTGGTAGGACAGCTTTGGCATGGGTGCATAGATGATCGTCGCTGCAATCTCTCATCCCCACAAATAATGGGTCACAGAGAGAATGTTTATGGGCTCTGAATGCGAGGAGAGATTGGATGTGACACAGGAGTCATGTATACGACCCAAACTGTAGCAGAGAAATAGTACTATATTACCAATAGGTTTTGGTTTATTAATACCCTGTGAATAAGTTGAGAATTTTGTGCTAGATAGCAGTCTACAAAGATTTCCGTTACTGCTGTTGGTACAGAATATTCACATATAATGTTTCAATTTTATATCTTATGTGTTTCTTCTTATTGTTTGTTAAACTAAAAATTCTTGGACTTATTAGGGATTGATATTGAGAGCAAGGAGGTGGTGGTATTAGCATCCCACCATTAGTGTTAGGCTTTATGAAGATGCAGACTTTATTTTTCAGTAATTTTGGCTGCCGTCCACTCTGCTAAAGAAGCCAAAACCTGGTTTATCTGCATGCTGGACTGGTATGACTTTAACCCATGGGCGTAGGTTTGCATAGGGCCCATAGGGACATGTCCCTACCAAAATTTTGGAAGGACCTATTTGTCCCTACCAATAATTGGATGTAAACAACATGTTTATAATTTACTATACAGCAGCCGCTTCTTTTCCTCTCACAGCTTCTCTGCCTGGTAGCTGCAGCTGCCTGCTCTTTCCTGTCCCTTTCACATAGCAGCGCATCAACTGTGCTGCGCGGGTTTAACTCTCTGATTATTCTGCCTTAAGTTCCGCCTTCTCTCTTTCTGATTGCATGTTTTCTAGTCTGTATGTGCGCGCGGGCGGGTGCTTGGAGCGCGAAAAAAAAGACGTTAAAATAAATTAATATTGGGCTACGAAAATAGTCCAAATTAAAAAAAATATTATCTACGCTAAAACAGGCGAAAGCTTCTGATTGGAGTTCTGTAAAGAAGCAGGAGAGAGTTTTTTGATTTGTGGAACTTGAGAAATGTAAGTTAACAACGTTAGGATTTATTTTATTTTATATTTTAATCAGATAGCCAAAGGCTCCTTGAAGAAGATATTTTATGAAATGAAAACAGGTGAAACAGAAACGTTTAAACATTTCCTTTGGAGGAGTTCTGGATGGAGAATATTGACAGACAAAAACTATTTTTTTTTTACTTCTTAAATGCTAATATTTTTTTTACAATCTTGGTATAATTCCTGCTCTAAGTGGGTCGCTCTGTCGGCTAAAGGCACATTTTAGTGGCCCTATATTCCAGTTAACGATTAATCAATTACTAAATTAGTTCACGATTATTTAAATAATTTGTTATTATGATTGTTTCAGCCATAGATAAAATACATGAAATTAGCTACACAGAGTAACTACAGCCCAGATGTACAACTTCTAATTTTAATACTTTAAATACTCTGTGTCAGTTCCTCTTCTAGTTCCAGTGCACATGTAAATATAATACATTTATTTGCTGTCCCTTGAATGTATTATTTTGCATGATCCAGAGAGAGCATATAAAAAAAAATAAGAGTGGGGTTTACCTCTGTTTACCTCTGCACAATTCTCTATCTTCAGAAGAAAACACAGGATAAATCCACATATTATAGACTATATTTGGTTAAACAGACACTGTCTTAGTAGCAGGTAAATTTAAATGCAATCCTTTTCAAAGTGGAAAAAGTCATAATTCCACATTCATCAGAGCCAGTGATGCTTTAAATATTGATAAACAGCATCTAGAGCATGTAGTGCTTATAAGATTTGTATTAATGTAGCAAGAAATGCTGCTGTTCTCTTTAAACAAAATGAGCCCTGAAGCTCACATTAAGCATAAAAAAGAGCATGCATATTTTTTGCAAAGGACCAATGAAACTGAAGAATAGTGTCCCTACCAAAGTTGAAATCAAACCTACGCCCTTGCTTTAACCCCACAAAAAAAAAAGATTCTATGGAGAGCTGTCGAGAGGAAGATGAGATGAGGACTTAATGGCAGTCAGCAGACCCAAGCTACTGACTGGCCTCATTTGCTCCACAGTCATAAAGTAACTTGTACAAAATAAGCTCTGACCAAGCAGTGAACAGCACAAATGTTTTAGTAGGCTGATACTTCTGTATTATAAATCCTTTTTGCTGATCTTCATACCTACAATATGTATGACTCAGCCATCTCCATCATTACTGATATAATGATGAAACTTTTAATTGTTAAATAAAGTGTGCAATTACTCTATGTTTTTTAATTTAATGGTCGGGCAAATCTACTCATTTGTGCAATAATTAAAGCTTTTTTTATTTCCAATTAGGTGCAGCGCAGTAGGAGAGTCAGCAAGGAAAATAAATTGACTGACTTTAATTTAGTTTGGAAACAGGGATGTTTCAGCCCAAGAAGTTTATTGTCAAAGTGAACTTGTTGTGGTGCAGGGTACCTCAGTTAATGCAACAGAATGGAGAGAATCGCGTGAAACTGATGAAACCGGATTGATTATTGAGTCAAGTTCACAAAGACAAATGAATTCATTTGCTGCTTATTTAAAACCCTTCCTTACCATGTGTAATCACTTCTTCAGGCAATGTGCTGGGGGAGACAAGTTCTCCATCTCAGCTGCTTCACATTAACAATTTCATTTAACTTTGCTCCACACCCAAAAACTAGGATTTTATAATTCAATTAACCATTGAGCCAAAGCTACGATGAACCTTTATTCCTCAGGTGCTACTTTAAGAACCATAAAAAACATTTCTCAAACCTGACTTGTTGCATTTCCATCAAGGTTAGGGCAATAATATTCAAAATCAATTTTTTATTTCCCTTAAATATAATTTGGTAAATTAATTTTTTCAGTTTTCTGTTATTAGAATTACTCTTGTGAATTTATCCTTTTCTTTAATGGGAGGGTATGTAAACTTTCTAGCACAACTGCACACATGGACTGGATATCCATGTTTGTCATGTATTTTGCCTTAAAAACTGTTATGACAGTGCACTTTGGCTTTTTGTGATAGAATCAGCTGCAATGCAATTAAAATGCATTTCACTAGTTTTTTATTTCACATCTGTTTCTCTTATGCAACAATTAAAAATTGACCTCTATAAATGACTGTAGCATAGAAGAAGAAATGTGCCAAAGAAATCAGAATCCCAGATTGTCTAGGAGGAGTATTTTTTGAGTGGATCACTGTGAAAACAGGTCATGAAAAGGCTAGCTTGACATGTGTCTGACCGCCATCATACTCAAATCACATGATGGCCATTAGCAGGGCTCAACATAAATTGAGCTTGTTAGTAGGGAGCTCGTTTGTTCGCTGTGTTTAGGATTAGGGATATATCACAAAGTGCAAAAAATGGCCATAGACACATCAGGTACAGACCCAGATATTTTTTTAAACTGAAGAAAATATATCTGGTATAATACGATGCTACACTGTTAATACTCGCCTTATTGATTATTCTCTTGCATTTTACCATTTCCCAAAGAAGCCCTTTATTTGCTCCACCCTTTCCCGCATCAAATTAAGATGCAGCCATGCACTCCGAGGTTGTGCAGCATTACCGTCATGGGTATCATGTAGCTGAGACATCAGGCCTGAGTGGCTTCGATTTCTCAGAGACCAAACCATGTCTGCACATGCAAACCCCACATCATGGATATGCAGCCACAAAGATAATGCACAAAAAACCCCTAACCATCTATTCGGTATATCAGGCGTAATGAAGGGCCTGCTATGCTCTGTTATTATGCCTCAGAAGACATCAAGACCCTGCAAGGACCATTACATAGGGGCTCATTTATTTCACAGTAGCAGGGTGTTCGTCTACGGTAAATGGGGTATAACGATGACCTTAAGAAGATCTTTATCTGAAGTGAAACAGACCTGAAAAAGTCTAATAAAATCATTGCAAATAAGAAACATTTGTATCTATGCTAAGAATATTTTAGTGAAATAGATATTAATTGATTAACAAACTAAACAAAGAGTGTTTGGTCTTACCTGCTGACCATGGTAAAACACGGCGAGAAGGAACATGGCCATCAGGAGCAAAGACGTCTCTTTGGTTCCCAAGAAGTTCCTGATGGACGAGAAAAGAAAAGAAGCTGCTTATTGTGTTAATTTTTGTATTGTTCTTTTTTTTTTCTTTTATCGCAGTGAAGCACAAAGAGAAATCAGAAACTAAAGGCAAATAAATGGCCTGTAAATATATCATGGCTTTGTTTCTATTTTCCTGTTGTGTTTTGACTGAAATTAAAAATGAAATGTAATTGATAATACAATCTAATTTCTTTTGATATTAAAAGCATGCATTCCTTTTAAGTGTTCAGAGAAAAACTTCAGACCAACTTGCTTTAAGTCAAAACATCAGCAACATGTAACAGGATACACACAAGAGAGGAGTCATAATCTTATGAAAAACTTCAAACTAACATGTTTTTTTTCATCTCCGAAACTTTGCAGGGAATCACTGAGGATTATCGGCTCAGAGAGATGTAGAGATGCTGCTTCAGGCATTTTCCAGAGTTAAGAGCCAAACTCACATAACAAGTGAAAAATAGCACATGATTTGTTTTCAGCACGGGGGATCACTTTGTGACAGTAATAAATCCTTTGAAGTATTTTTTTATTTTTGTAAAGAGGCTGAAAACAAAACTTAGAGCTCAAACTTGCTGGTGTCCATAAAAACACAAACATGCTGCTGCAGAAACTTTGGGATTTTTATGCATCATTGAGTAAATCAAGATTACAATGAAGGTTTTATGCTGTACCTAATGTCACGCTTGAACTGCCACAAATATTGGCAATTGCAATTTGAATTATGTTGATCGATAACAAAGCAAAAACAATATTGATGGAAAGCAAAAGGGCTCTTCTAGTCCTGGGAGTAAATGAGATGAGTGAATGAAAAGGATTCATTAAATGAATATTTTATGAGTTGTTTTGATTTGCGCTGTTTTGTTTTGATTCTTTTGTTTCAGATATAAACTCTGTGCTGGCAGAACGCATATCCAGACTTCCATTGCCCCAGCCTGGTGAGTTTTTCCTTCTTTACAGTGGAAACATTAGGGAAAGAAGCTTTTTTCTAGCAACTTAAAATGGAAGTCTTGTACTGTGATAAAATTGTTGACTGTCTAGGTGCAGATTTAAATATTGTGTTTGGGTTTTAAACAGTGGTGCAATGGTAAGGATTTATTTATGAAAGTATTCGGGTTGAATCCCAGATGAAATATTTTTGTGCAAACTTTACATTATCTCTCAGGGTAGAGCATAAGACGAGAATATATAATTTTAAAATATTATAAAGTCTATCTTTATAGAGTAGAATTTATTTGTTTCCTTGGAAGAAACACTAAGAAACAAAACCAGCCTTCACAGGGGTTCCTCAAAAGGGTCTATTGTTTGCCCTCTTTAATTCAAAATCAGAATCAGCTTTATTCCCCGGGTCTGTGTAAGCAAACAAGGAATTTGATTTTGGTTCTATGTTGCTCAACATGACAACATTAAAAGTATAGATATATAAAAAAAAAGAGACAACCTAAAGGAAGAAACTGTATTTGTGTGTCATGAACCGAGGACAGGTGGACCCAGTATTCAAGGAGAGACAGTCAGTAGGAAAGTTCAAAATGTTTATTTAATGGGCTCTATGCACAGCTCCACTACTTTCTGAATTTAATGCAGCTCCTTTGTTTCCTGTCTTTCATGATTGGATGCACTGATTAATCCAGGTGTGTATGACCTAAGTAACTGGCCAGACATTAATCAGTTCGTCCAGTAATATAAGACAGGAAATAAAGTAGCTGCCTTAAATTCAGAAGGTAGTGGAGCTGTGCATAGAGCCCATTAAATAAACATAAGCGGAGCTGTGGCTCGTGGAC